AAAAAAGGAGATATCCAACTTTTCCAAAAAAGAGAAGTTGTCTTTTTGAAAGCAAGGGGGTTTGGATAGAGAGCTATTATCATTGGTTGGGGAAGTTCTTTCAGATCTTTTTTAAGAGATTAAACAAACTGTTAAGACTTTCACAGGAAGTGTTTGTAAAAGGGAGATGAATACACACACTTTTACGCTTGTTGGTCATGGGAAGTAATGACTTTCACATGAAATGTTTGTAGAAGGAGAGATGAATACCCAAACAACAAATTTTTCACTTTTTAATTTTTTACTCTATAATTCGTATAAATCAAAGAATTATGGATATGTTGCGAAAGCTAGGAAGATAAGACATGTGATAAATGATTGATTGTTCTGTGAGAGCTATATTTGAATCCTTCAAACAATAAGATCGGTAAATTCATGACAAGAAAAACGATGGAACTCGATGAGGATTGATGATACATCGACAAGCTACTGCAACTGCGATATACGAGGTAAAGAGAAGCAAAGAGAGAAGGATAAGGGGAGAGGGTGCGACACAGAAGGGTGATGTGTGTTGTCTGTATGTGTTTTGAAGGTGGGATCAGTGTTTCCATCCGTTGTGGAGGGGTTGCAGGATGCTTTTGTCTAGGATTGCACACTAAACAATTGCTAGAACATCTACAAGAGATTTGCTATAACCTTTTCCGAAATAGAAAAGCAGAAGTCGAAATCTGCTATCTTACATTTGAACAAAATCATCCTACCCCTTTGCCAACTGAACTACACGCAAAAGCTAAAGTTGTTTTGAATATGGATAATGTTACATCTCGTTTCCTCTCTTTTCTCCATCTTGTAGATAGTTTTAAAGAATCCATCAGAGTTCCAATTTCATCTAAAAATATGTAAAATCTTATCAGTTATCTTTAATACGTTTAATAATACAATATTAAAAAAATATATGAACCATAATCAATCTTATCAGTTAATTGTAAAGATTACGATGAGTAAAATTGTAAGTTTTGAATGAAATAATTCAAAAAAAGAGATCGTGGTATTTTAAAGAACAATCCAGAATAAAACGAATGTAATATTTTTTTTGAGTATAAATTACAGAACAAAAAAAAATGTTGACCTAAGACAATCAAAACCGTAAATAGTGTTTACTGTATAAAATATGGAATTATAATACTCCATCAATAAAGGTTCAGCTAAAGAGTAAAACTAGAGATCTCGGTTTTGTACCCAGATATCAAAGATCATCATTCGTTAAAATAATGTCCTAAATTAACTGTTAAGACACCTAAAAGATTATACAAACTTATTGCAATACTTAATATGGAACGTACAATTGTCTGTAACTATAAATTTAAGTTCTATAAGATGATTTATTTGGACACTTAGGGGTTGTTTAACGAATGGCTATTGGGTAAGTGTTTACCAGTAAGATGACCTCGTCGCTTGCCTTATTGGATAACATTCTCAACCATCAAAACGGATTGTTGGTAAGTGTTTTATACCAGATAAGATGCTTCTCCATCACTTATCAGATAAGAGACTTTTCCCAACTTACCGAGTAAGATTCTTGGTCCTTGCAATGCTCATTTGAAAGGTAAGTGACACATGATGAACACTTACTCGATAAGAGTTCAGTAAACAACATGTAAGACATTTTTTGACGTCTTATAAATCTTATTTTATGTGGTCCTACCAAATGGGTGAGAATTATGAAGGAAGAAATTAAGTGATCATTGTAATGAGATTGATGACCTAATATGCTTTGCTTTTATACAAAGATCTCATCATTTTCACTTGTTTGGTTTGGTTTTGTGTGTGTTGTGCTCTCACTTTCTTCATCATTCCCATTAATACCCTTTTCCTACTTTTTAACTTCATACATAAGTTATGGTCCCACCATTTGAACTCTTTTAGGAAACACAAATTAGTTTTCAAAAAGGAGATGTGGATTTAACATATGTGGGTAGTGCTGTAAACGAACCGCACGAACATGAATGGAGGCTTGTTCATGTTTGTTCGTTTAACTTAACCGAACAAACGAACGAACACGAACGGTAAACGAACGAAAATCTTTGTGTTCGTGTTCGTTCGTTTAGAAATAAGGTGTGTTCGTGTTCGTTTATGTTTGTTCATTAACATGTTAAATGAACGTAAACGAACGAACATAAACGAACATAAATAAATAATATTTAAATTCAAAATAAATAAATAAAGGATTATATATTAAATTTAATATATAAACGAATATAAACGAACGTAAACGAACGGTAAATGAACGAACGTTCACGAACATAAAATGAACGAACGAGACTCTTGTTCATGTTCGTTCGTTTAACTAAACGAACAAAAAAAATGTGTTCATGTTCGTTCATTTATTAAATAAACAAACATAAACGAACTTCCCGCCGAACGGTTCACGAACGGTTCGCTGAACGTTCGGTTCGTTTACAGCCCTATATGTGGGTGTAGAATTATTAAGAGTCAATATGGTAATTTATATCTTTTATCGTGTATCATTCAATTATAATTGGTACAGAAAATTTGATATCATATATTAACCAATTTTATCTACTATCATGTTTTTCTTTTGAAATGAATCGAACGAACACAAACAAAAGGTTGTCTGTGTTCGTTCTTTTAACTTAACCGAACAAACACAAAAACAAAGACGAACGGGAAAACAATGAATTTTTTTTCGGGTACATGTTCGTTCGTTAAGGAAATATTTTTTTCATGTTTGTTTGTTAAGATGTTAAACAAACTCGAACGAACTTAAATGAACAAACATAAACGAACGAACACAAACAAACAAAAACACAACCAATATTATAATTATTTTACATATCGATGTCATAATATATATATATATATATATATATATATATATATAAACAAAACATGAATGAACATAAATGAATGAACGAGGCCGATCTCGTCATTCATTTAACTAAACGAACAAAAAACGTATTCAAGTTCATTCATTTATTAAATAAATGAACGTAAATGAAATTCTAGCCGAATAGTTTTTAAACAATGCACTGAACTTTCAATTTGTTTACAATACTGGATAGTAATATCTTTTAATCAGAACTAAATCCTTCCTAGTAACAAAAAAAAAAGCCTTTGAGAGTTCAAACCATATCAAGGGACTTTTTATCAAACACTTACTGAGTAAGCGTTTACTGGATGTCAATTATTTTATCGTGTAAACATGACAAGCCTGAGAACAAAGGCAGACCTACTCATAGAGTACGGGGTGCACGAGCACCCGCTCAATCGTCCTGCCATAATGACATTTTTTACTGGTCGTAATTGTGCACTCGCTTAATTTTGAAGTGTGCTCTTATATGTTTTTAAAACAGAACTTCAAGCAAAAGAGTAAGGTTGAAGCACTACTTGTCTTCCTTAAGGTCATGGGTTTAAACTTTTTTGACAACAGTTTCTGGTTTTTTATATTTAAAAAAAGACAAACAAATATACAACAAAAGAATTGAAACCTCAGCTATAAAATAGCAAAGTCTTATCAATCAGTTACGATTATTTTTCATTTACAACTGTCTCAATCTTACTTTTATTTTTTTATTTTTTTTAGTATTTTTCTTTCTATTTGCATATTAATCTTAAATATGTTTTTTGTTTTGTTTTAATGATAATACATGTTTATCCGAAATAACTTAAAAAGAAAATAAAATTAATTACATTTAACAATTCATATTTTGAGCGAGTTTTTATTTTTAATTTTTTTGATAATACTTAAAAATCGGTTATTGTTTCTCTGTCCATGATGTCATCAAACATATTTATGTAAAAAACTTATAAAATTATATTTTGTTGTTGCATTTGTTGAACGGCTACGAAATCAACAACAAAAAATCCCCCGTAAAGATGGAATTCGGCCGAGAACACGCCAAGTGTAAGATGTAGTGTTGCGTTTTACCCAAAAAGTCAAGGTCGGTTTCATTGTGAAAACGTATTGTATCAAATCAACACAATTGAATTTTCATCAGATCAAACCGTGTTGACTTTTCCATGAGTTAAAACCGCGAATTCATGGCCTTTGATTGATCTTAAAGGTGCATCCGCTCAGAAAAATTCATAGGTTCGCCACTGGCTGAGAACCTTACCCGGTAAGAGGCGACATAAAAACTGAAAGTTTTGTCTGATAAGTAAAAGAAAAGACTCTTACCTGACAAACCTTACCAGGTAAAAAATAGCCACCAACAATCAATTTTGATGACCGAAAATATTACCAATAAGGTAAGTAAGAAAAATGATTCTTACCGATAAACTTTTGATAAACAGACTCAAAAGGAAATTAATTTTGTATCTATATAAACAGAGGAGTAATTTGAAATCCATTGTTTTAGTTAATCAAAATATCCAACATTAATTATAACTAATAACTAATTAATTAAAATTTGGTGTCTATCATGTATCAATTAAGTTTTCATACTTAACATGGTAATATCAACTGTATTAAATGGATTCTTTTGTATCATTAATATGTATAATGAAAATGAAAAAAAAATGAGAAAAAACCCACAAGAGTGGTGTCTGATTGATTTGAGCTTGACTATAAAGGTCAAAATTACCAGAAAGTTCCAAGTTTAAATCCAAGGAAGAATAAAAATCCTCTTGTGGCTACGGATTTCTAAATACGGTGACTCTGGGCTATCTGCATAGCATGTAGTCGTTTTGAGATTAGTCGGCTCGCATAACGTGTTGGATATCTAGATTAATAAAAAAAATGGAAAAAGAAAAAGAAAACAATTAACTTTTTGAATTTTAAAAGTTCCCTCTTAAAAATGACTAACGGCGCCTCACCATCTCAACTACCTACGTTACTACTAATATCCATTGTAACCCAAAACTAACGGCGATAAGAAAAACTCCGTTACTTCAACCCATTAAGAACCCCTTCCCGTGATCTCCAGTCCTCACTTTATCTGCTTCAGTTACAAAACCTCTACCCCTCTCTTTCTCTCTCTCTCTCTCTAGAACTTTCTAAAATGCGTGAGATCCTGCACATCCAGGGAGGCCAATGTGGCAATCAGATCGGAGCTAAATTCTGGGAGGTTGTATGTGCTGAGCATGGGATTGATTCCACCGGAAGGTATAATGGGGACAACGATCTTCAACTCGAGCGCGTCAATGTTTACTACAACGAAGCCAGTTGTGGTAGGTTTGTTCCACGGGCGGTGCTCATGGATTTGGAGCCGGGTACTATGGACAGTCTCCGATCAGGTCCGTACGGTCAGATTTTCCGGCCCGATAATTTCGTGTTTGGGCAGTCCGGTGCGGGGAATAACTGGGCGAAAGGTCATTACACCGAGGGCGCTGAGCTTATTGATTCGGTTTTAGATGTTGTACGGAAAGAAGCTGAGAATTGTGATTGTCTTCAAGGTATAATTTCATTTCGTTGATTTAAATGTTATTGAGTTAATTTTAGCAGAAGCAGTCGCTCATTATGTTTTATGTTCGTGTGAGTTACATGGTTTTCTGTGTCTCGGTTTTGATTATTATAGTTGAATGTGTTGTTGTTCGTATTTAATACTGCCTTATCTAAGTATTCTGAATTGAATTGTTGCCGATCTGGTAGTTCGTAGGTGTTCCCCTCCGGTTTGATGTGTATGTAGTGTAATTTGATGTCCTAGGGTTTTTTCATGCTCCGATTAGGTATTTAGGCTAACTTTTTAAGTTCAATGTTAATTCAGCATGTATTTCATATTAAGTACATGCAATTAATGTGTCAATGTTTTGATCATTTCGTTAATCTAGCTTCCAATTGCTTTTCAATGCCTATCTGAGCATGTTTGTCTCTTTATTAATGTTGAATTATATTATGGATACATCTCTCAAGAGGCCTTTGGTTCTACTGGAAATTGACTGCTCTGCTTGTATATTTTGGGACTGTTTTAAGGCTATATGTTTTGTTCCTTCACACAAGTGATATAAGTTCTTTTTGCCTTGTCTCATTGATTTGGCTTGTGAAACCCTTCAAGTTCAATTTAAACAGTGTTTGACATTGTTATCAACTGCAATTGAACATTTTGTTTTCTAAAACAGATTGAAGTAACCCCGTAGCATGGTCAAAGCCTCTTGTACTGATTTTCATTTGTTAACTTTCAGGTTTCCAGGTATGCCACTCTTTGGGTGGTGGGACTGGGTCCGGAATGGGAACACTTCTCATTTCCAAGATCAGAGAAGAATATCCTGACCGCATGATGCTTACTTTCTCTGTATTCCCATCTCCAAAGGTTTCTGATACTGTTGTGGAGCCTTACAATGCAACCCTCTCGGTGCACCAGCTTGTTGAGAATGCAGATGAGTGTATGGTGTTGGACAATGAGGCTTTATATGACATTTGCTTTAGAACCCTGAAGCTTACTACACCAAGCTGTGAGTTCCTCACCTTAAGTGTGACATTTTTTTTTGGTTGAAAGTTAACCCTCAGCTTTGATGAAAATCTTTTAATATCTTTTAAGCGTGATATTCGTGCTTGCTTATTGTTAAATTGACTTCCTTCCATCTTTTCTCTTGCAAGAATATTGGAAGATATCGTATATTGAACACATTAAAATCAAGATCTGGGTTGTTTTTTCCATGCTTTATAGCTTTCTCAACCAAATGCTATTGGTTGTGATACGTAGTGCCTTGATTTACTTCAAATTTAGATTTGAAGTTGGGATATTCACATAGTCTACTAATTCATGATAAACTAGTTTCGATATAGAGTAATGGCAAAAACGACAAGGTACTCTAGTTCTAGTTTTGGCCCTCTTTATCCTTATAGTGGTTTTTCTGGCCCTGTCTCTTACATTGCATAGCTGGATTCTTGAAACACCACCACAATTTTTATTTTTATTTTGTGGACATTTCTATCATCATTCAGTTGGAGAGTCTGGCTAACTTGAATATGTTTTACTTGACTACTATTTTTCTATTTCAGTTGGAGACTTGAATCATTTGATTTCTGCTACCATGAGTGGGGTAACTTGCTGCCTCCGTTTCCCTGGACAGCTCAATTCTGATCTCCGCAAACTTGCAGTCAACCTTATCCCCTTCCCTCGTCTGCACTTCTTCATGGTTGGATTTGCACCACTAACATCTCGTGGGTCTCAGCAGTATCGTGCGTTGACTGTACCTGAGCTGACCCAACAGATGTGGGATGCCAAGAACATGATGTGTGCAGCTGATCCTCGCCATGGTCGGTACCTGACAGCATCCGCCATGTTCCGTGGTAAAATGAGCACCAAGGAAGTCGATGAGCAGATGATTAATGTGCAAAACAAGAACTCTTCCTATTTTGTGGAGTGGATCCCTAACAATGTGAAGTCGACCGTATGTGACATCCCTCCAACGGGGCTGAAAATGGCTTCAACCTTCATTGGTAACTCGACATCAATCCAGGAGATGTTCAGGCGGGTGAGTGAGCAATTTACTGCTATGTTCCGGAGGAAGGCTTTCTTGCATTGGTACACAGGAGAGGGAATGGATGAGATGGAGTTCACAGAAGCGGAGAGCAACATGAACGATCTAGTATCTGAATACCAGCAGTATCAAGATGCAACTGCAGAGGAGGAAGGATATGATTATGAAGATGATGAAGAAGAACTTGAGGATGGTGCTTGAGTTGAGAGCTTTGGTTTGTTTGCTGTGCTGTAAATGACTGAGTGGTTTTTTTGAGCCACCTGCTTGGTGGCTTGTATTGCAATTGGGTTGATATTACTTAGCTTAGGAGGTTTGGAGACATGATTTGTGTTAATTTCACTCTGCTTATATAATTCTGGTGTTTCTTGTTTTATGTTATAATTAATGAAAGCTTTCATCTTTTACATGACAAAACAAACATATCTTTGTAGAACAAGTACATGGACATTGCTACAAAACAATAACAAAGAATGGGTGGGATGCTTCAATTTCCAACTTCAAGCTCCAAACTTGGGGACTTTGGCAGTGGAGATACGGGTGAGGAAGTGTTCCGCTACGATCCTCCTTTGGATCTTCCCTGTAGCCGTTTTTGGAACAGAATCGGTGATGAAGACCTTCTTAGGCACCTTGAATGCAGCCAGATTCTTGGTGCAGAACCTCAACACCTCTTCCTCATCAAGGTTGGATCCTTCTCTGGCTATCACCGCACAATTTATCTGCAACACACACCCATTTCATTTTGTTTGTAAACAAACATGCCAAAATGTATAATGATGAATAAAAATTGCAAGTAGATTCACCTCCTCGCCATATTTGTCATCAGGCACACCAAAGCAAACAGCTTGGGCGACATCTGGGTGCGACAACAGAACAGCATCCACCTCAATTGGCGATATCTTCTCCCCTGTCATAAAAACATAACAAGTAAGCACAGAAAAAGACCATACTACATAATAAAGAAGCAATAGAATCGGCATCTAACAACAAAATATACCCTCAACCCATCTGCTTCACTATTAATATATTTCTTTACTATGGCATCTTTTACTTTTTGTATTGCACAAAAGACAACAGATTTCCACCTTTTTCCTAAATACCAAATCCTTGTGTGTGTGTGTTAGTTAATTAGTTGTCATCCTCTAGTTTGGCATATAAATAATAACGGTTTTCAAATAAATTATATTGATTAATTTAAAAAGACGACATCAATAAATCCAAGATCTGTATTTAAATAATCTTAATTAAGATATAAAAATAATACCTCCTCGGTTGATCAATTCCTTGATCCGACCCACAAGATGCATATATCCATCGGAGTCAAAATACCCGATGTCGCCCGTATGGAACCACCCGAATAGAAATGCGGATTTATTAGCTTCTGGGTTATTCTTATACCCGCTTGTCACATTCGGGCCCCGAATACAAACTTCTCCGTTTGACCCAGCCTTCTGTTCCACGCCATTCTCGTCCAATATTGCCATTTCTTGACCCACGGGTTTACCCACCGACCCGGGAACATGGGGACCGTCTTCTGGTAGTGGGTTAGACGCCATCAGATGGGTGGCTTCCGTCATTGCATAGGCTTCAAGAACTGGCGCATGAAAAGCCTCCTCCAGCCGAGCTAATATGCTCGGGGCAAGTGACGCGCTGCAGCTTCGAATGAATCGGAGTTTCGGGTAACTGGGTTCGGGTTTGGTTAGGTGACGGTCGAGTATGATTTGGTGGATGGTGGGAACGGCGGTGTACCATGTGGCGTTGTATTTGATCATGTCGGACCAGAACGTCGAGGCGGAGAAACGGCCGGCGGAAGGGAGAGTGACGGAGGCTCCGGCACCGAGTGAGCTCAGTAATCCGGCGAGTAAGCCGTGGACGTGGAACAAGGGGAGGACGATGACGGTCGAGTCGGACTCGGTGAGTTTGTAAACGGATTTTATATTGTTGACGGAGGAGGCTAAATTGAGCTGAGTTAGTGGCACACCTTTGGGGCGACTCGTGGTCCCCGAAGTATGTAGAAAAAGTGCGACGTCGGATGGCTCGTTAACGATTTTCACGGCGGAGCAATCGGAATGAGACTCAGACACCGCGGACAGCTGGATACGCGATTCAACGTCGCTCAGGGCTGCCGTCACGTGAGGGATTCCGATCTTCGATGCGGCGGTTTCTGCCGCCTCGTTGCCTTCTTTGGCGGTCAGTAAGAGTTTCGATTCAGAGTCCGATAAGTAGAACTGGAATTCCTCGGCGGTGTAAGCTTGATTAAGCGGTGCCGCCGTGGCTCTCACTCGGATGACTCCCAAAAACATGATCAAATACTGTAAACAATCAAAACAATCGCATCAAAAACTATCATGCTACCAACAAATCAAAGCTTAATTTGGTGCAATATGATCAAATTTTAATATCGGGAATCGAACAAAATTAGGGCATAAGAGAGGAAAATGATACCTCAACGGTGTTTGGAAACGTGAGGGCAACGACATCTCGGGGTTTGACACCGGCTGCCACAAGCGAGGAAGCGGCATGCTCGACGAGCTGATTGAGACGAGAGTGCGTGATATCGAATTTGCCGGAGACGGAGATCGCACGGCGGTCAGGGAACTTATCGGCGGTGTTTTTGAGTAATCCGGTCAAAGTATCCATTTTTGCGGGGAAGATTGGATTAAAAACGAAGAAAAGCAAAAGGGTTTATGGGATTTAGAGAGAGAAAGAAAGATGAGGATTGAGAAGAGGGGAAGGGTATGTTATATAGAAGAATAAGGCGGCGAGCAAACGGAGGAGGACGCCGAGGAGATTTGATCTTGACAACGTTCGGCGAAGGTGTTAATTGGGGAAGGCGTGCCACGTGGAAGGTGACTTGTACGTGTCTCATTGGATCCATGTTCTAACAATGGTGTCACGTGACTTAAGCATGCCATGATCCCCATTTAATTTCAAAGAGAAAAATACGATTTCCCTTTCTCTCTCGTGATGGCCTCTTGCTATCGCCAAGTAGTCATTTGATGGCTTAAAACGCTTTCCAAACGCGAAAGTGTTATTGACCCACCGTTTCCCAACACACAATAAATAAATTCTTTTATATTTCAATAAAACAAAATAAATATTATTAATATTTTATTTTAAGTAAACCATCTTTAAGGTAGCGTTTGGTACGTAGAAATAATTGGATACGACTGAACAGGACAAAACATGACATGACTGAATGGGTTTTGGATTTAATCAAACATCGATTTATATCTTGATTTTTATTTCGATTTAGGTTTTCAATCTTGGTATAGAAAGAACCCATTTGAACCGTTCAGATTTATGCTTGCAGAATAAAGTGAAACGTCAGATCTACATACACAAATAAATTGATTTAGATAGAGGTCACGATAGAAGGTCAAATGGAAGGGGGTGGGGAAGCCGAGAATAGATAACAAGTTGGAGTTTAGCGAGGGCAGATATGGTAATAGATGGTGTTAGGGGAGGGGGGTGTGGTGTTTGCTGATGAGAGAGCCTTGACAAAGACGAAATAGAATAAAAGATAAATAGGGGACAGGCGATATGGTTAATATAATAATTTTTATTCTATATAATATAATATAATATAATAATAATAATAATATTCTTTAATTTTTAGCAAAAAAATGTAATAAAAAAAGAAAAAGACCAAAATTCCCATGTTTTTAAGTGATAAATTTTTGATTAAATTAGTATTAGAGACCATTTTAAAAAAACAAAACATAAATTAAAAGAATGATTTCTAGACTTATCAAAATTATGTTCCATTTTTAGAATTTCATCAAATCTTAAGGACTAAAATTGAAATTTATTATATCAGTAATGTACCAAAAATACATTGTGTACGTGTCAAATTTGACGGAGGTTTTGGTCATTAAAAGTAGTCGACCATATGATACGATAGCGGAGAGTTGAATCATTCGTAGTAGTCGACATGAGATTGTTATTTAGGGTTTATTTATTAAACGTTTATTTAATAAGTGTTTATCGAATAAATTTTCTTATCGAATGAATATGACAATGGTCAAAAATTTTACCGGTTAAGAGTGATTAGAATGATAGAGAGTCTTACTCGGTAAGTGAAAATTACGACTTTTACACAGGTAAGCACTTACCTAGTAAATTGTTGCATTCAATACGTTTTGATGTACTAAAATCTTACTCATCAAAATAAATTATAGTGTTAACTCCTATAGGTAAGCACTTACTGGGTAAGCGTTTGGGTAAACAGCCCCTTAGTATTCTCGTCAAAAAAATAAATAAATGTTCTTACATGTTTTTAATAGAAAACATATAATTGCTACATTTTAATTAATTAAATAATAATTGTAATTGTAATAATAGATTAAGGGACCATTTATCAAACATTTATCCGGTAAGCGTTTACCGGTAAAATTTAACACTATTATTTACTTACCGAGTTAGATTTTTGTCCACCAAAACGGTGTCGTATGCAACAATTTACCCGGTAAGCTGTTACCGTGGTAAAAGTCGTCGCCCTCATTTACTGGGTAAGACTCTTGGTTCTTGTCTCGCTCTTACCGGGTAAGATTCTTGGTTCTAACCATATTCATCCTGTAAGGTAATGTGACTTGGTGTTCACTTACCCGAGTAAGCGTTTAGTAAACGGGCCCTTTAAGTAATAATTTCTTCATGTTATAATTAATAGTCGACTTGATTATTTTATTCTTAAAATAATTGTTCCTAATAAAAATGTCATACAGGTTTTAGGGGTCGTTTACCAAACACTTACTCGGTAAGCGTTTACGGATAAAATTTAATATTATCATTTACTTACCGAAGTAAGATTTTAGTCCACAAAAACGACATCGTATGCAACAATTTACTTGGTAAGTGCTTACTGTGATAAGAGTCGTCGCCCCTCACTTACCGGGTAAGATTTTTGGTCTTGTCTCGCTCTTACAGGATAAGATTCTTGGTTTTTATCATATTCATCCGGTAAGGTAATGTGACTTGGTAAACGCTTACCCAGATAAGTGTTTGGTAAACGACCCCTTATTAGGACAGTTTTGATGGCGATGTAAATCGAACTATGGCTATATGGGTAGCAACTAGCTCGTGGGTGACCTTTATGTTTATGAACTTGATTTCGACACCACCTAACCCCCCTATTATATAGTGTCCATCTTCACCTTTGCTTCGTACCTTTCGTCTCTCTTATTATTAGGTTGTACATTTTATTCGTTACCTTCTTGTTCTGCAACAACTAAACAACAAAAACCAGGACCATAAATGTAATCATAGATTACGACAAAAATACAAAATCTATAAATAAATTCGATCTGTACTAATATTAGAAATACAGAAAATGTGGCGACGAAGAAAAGCGCAAAGCCTTGTACATGGAAATTAAACAAGAGGAATATCTCATAGATTGTATTAGTGGAGGCAGACTATGAGAATGTATGGAGTCGTCGAGGTTTACTGTCGGAATAAGTCCTTAAGAGGAGAAGAGAGGTTCTAACATATATAAAAGAGAAATGACCAACCACAAAGGTGGTGCCTGATTGGTTTGAGTTTGGCTCCAAAGGTCAAAAGTACCAGGAGGTCACAGGTTCAAATCCACGGAGGAATAAAAATCCCCTTGTGGTCACGGAGGTCCAAATGCTGTGACTCCGGGCTATCTGCAAAACAGGTGGTCGCCCTGGGATTAGTCGGCTCGCATAGCGTTAGCTAGCTTGTTTGCGAGTGTTAAAATCAGGGGACACTGATATTTTTAGAGGCCATGTTACATCTATATTAAAATTATAGGTCGACTATACGAGTTATAAATAAAATTAAATATAAAAATTCATACATGATATATTATTATTATTATTATTATTATTATTATTATTATTATTATTATTAAAAGTATTACAATTTAAATCATCAAACTTGTTTTAAAATTGTAAATAAGCATATGGAGTTCATATAAATAAAATCATTTCTTCTAAGCTAAAATTATAAATGCCGAATAAAATCATGTCCAAAATTATATATATATATATATCTATAACATTTAACAAAAACTTTTAAAAATCATTTTTTTATGTACGAAGTACTGTTTATTGATGCATATTACTTAAAATTCAAGATTACAAGTAAATTATATGTAAGTACAACTTATTAAAGTTTTATGTTTAAATTCGTGCAACTAACTGCAGATAAACATAATCTTAGAAGATAAACATCTCATTTTAATTATAAAATATCTAAAATATAATTAGGATAATTATTGATATATAACAGAATACTTAATTATTATCTTTAAAAAATATTTTATTAAATTAAAAATAAAGTAATTCGTTTTTAAACTTCAATTAAGTTATAATAAAAAAATAAATTAAAAAAATTACATAAAAACAAGAACTTTTAGATAATTAATTTGATACTAACATTGCTTATTTTTTTCAACATTTTATAATGGGGTTTTCTAACCCCACCCCCTGCTATGTATTTGACCCTAGATTTTCTATACCCCCTCCTATTAAAACACTAAAATACATTATAATAAGTTTATTTTATTTTTCAATTTTAACCCTTAATATTTTTAGT